TCCGACATGCAACTCCGCAAGTGTCGCCCAACCCACATCGTTGAGCGCCGACGGCTCGGTGAACGCCCGCCAAAGCCCTTGCTTTAGCTCGGCGTTGTCGTCGGGGGATCGGAGTTCTTTGGAATCGTTCGATTGCGATGACTCATGAAGCAATCGTCGCGCCACGCGGTGATTCGGCAAGTCCTCCGCCAACTCGTCGGCCGTGCGGCCTTGTTCGCCGCGGATCAGCACCAGGGCGATGTCGGGGCTGGGACCATTGCTCAACGTGCTCACGTTGAACCGTACGCCGCGGACCTCCACGACTTCCCCCGCCCATCCCCCGCCTGAGATCCGCTTTCCGTCCTCCGGATGGCCGGGGTCGATGACGCGGAAGCTCCACTTGTCGCGGTCCCCGTCACGCTTGAGGTGGGGGCGGGGCCGCTCGTCGCCGGGGAGCAAGATGGGGAGGTGTTCGCCGTCGCGGACCTCCGCGATCACGCACCAACCCTCGGGGTCGAGTTCCGACGGCTCATGGAACACGCGCCACTGCCCCTGCTTCATCGTCGAGTCGGGGCCGTACTGGTTGCTTGCGGCGCCTTCCGCCGAGGAGGCGTCATCGACTTGGCTTTCGGCGCCGGCCCTATCCGCACTGGCCTTCTTCGCCTGCTCCTTCAAGAGTTCCCGATACTCTTCCGCGTTGGGCTGCTCAGCGGCGATCCGCGCCTTCAGCGGCTTCGCCTTCTCGTGCTCGCCGCGCTCTTCGTAGACACGGGCCAGAGAGTAGACCGGGTCGATCAGCCTGTCGGGCTCGGCGGCGACGAGTCGCTCCCAGATCGCCACGGCGGCGTCGATATCCCCTTCGGCCTCAAGGCAACGGGCCAGTCCATTGAGGGGCCCCGGCGCGTCCGGCGTCTCCGCCACGATTTGCTCGAAGAACGGCTTCGCCTCCTCGGGCCGCCCTTGGTTGAGGACGGCGAAGCCGAGCCCGTTTACCGCTGAGAGATTGCCCGGCTCGGCAGCGAGCACCTGCCGGAAGGCCTCCTCGGCGCCGCGTTGGTCCCGTGCGAAAAACAGGCGCCAACCTTTTTGTAAGGACTCGGCGGCATCGGTCGGCGAGAGCGTTTCCCCTCCAAACTCAGCCTCTCCACCAGAGGGCTTTCCTCCCCCTGCCAACGCTTCATCATCAATCAACAGCATCGCACGGAGCGCTTCGCTAGAAACGTCATCGCCGATCAGCTTGCTGCTGCCATCAACCAGCGAGGTGAGGATGCCGCTCGATCCGATCGACCCGATCCCGCGGCGCGGGTCGTCCGCGTAGGCCTCGGTGTCGAAGTCGATCGGCCGGGTCCATTCGACGGCGTGCTCGTCGCTCACTTCTATCAGCGCGATGGTCCTCGAAGTTCCGTCACGGATGTCTTCGATATGGCGAGACTGGTTCGGCGCCATGAACGCACCCGGCCCAGCAGCAGCCACGTAGTTCGTCTTGCCGCTGTCGATGGGAAGCTTCGATCGCGGGTCGCGAAATACGTCGGGCATCTTCTTCAGCAGCGTGATGTTGTGAGGGCTGTCCCACGGCTCATCGTGGTGGAACTCGTGGTGAAGACCTTCGTAACCCAGCAATGGAAGAAGCTCGACCCGCCAACTAAGCCCCCCATCGACGACGCTCGGAAAGATTTTCTGGGCGTCATTGAAGGTAAGCAGCGCAAGAATGATCTCTTTAAGGTGATTCATCGAAGCGGCCCGCTGCGAGGCTTCGTCTGCGGGAGGCGGTGAAGCCTCGGCCTTCGGCGGCTCCGGCGCAGGCGGAGCTTGTGGTGCCAAGGGCTTTAGCATCTTTGGATCAAACGTCTCAAGCCACGGCGCTGCTTTCGCATCTTGCAGGCTGGTGTGCGCCTCCAAGGCGTACTGGGTAAGCATCTCGAAACGCTTTAGAGGCAGATCGAAGTGCGACAGTAACTTCACCAACTCCGAAGGGGCGGTTGACGACTGATAGACGTCTGCTGAGACGGCGTCCTCGGTAGCGTTCTTGATGAGCAAGCGCGCCTCGCCAGCCCGCTCGTTAACGGTAGTGTAGCGCTCTCGCGCTAACTTCTTGATCGCGTTCTGCGTTAAGCCGGCGACCCGTGATGTGCCTAGCTTCAACGACGACTTGCGAATCTCAGCTGCTCTCCGGGCGATTGCGATCAACTCGAGCAACGCTTCCTCCGCTTCGTCGAGCTTCTTGTCGACATCCGAGCACAGCGACTCGATCCGATCGTCGGTCTTCGGTGGCGTAGGCGCTGACGGAGCTTTTGGCGCCGGGATCGAATTCGCCGCGGGAACGGCGGGCG